AGAGACAGCAAAATTCATTAATTTTCCAGGCAGTATCAAATTGGATGACCTAAACTTGCAAATGTTTTCATGGAAATGCAGTTGATTGAATTTCAGAGTAGCTCAATTTGGAAGCAGAAATTTGTTGAATTGACTTGGAAAATATTGAAAAGAAGCAATTAGAGATGGAGGTATCAGAGAAATGTGGAAAACAATGTATTAAGAAAATTTTGTCTGTTTAAAAAAAAACTTGCAACATCATTACTATCCATGTTTTCATCTACATATGCTTGTGAATTTTTGTTCTCAGTGATGAACTTTGTTAAGTCTCATAACAGGAGTAGCCTGACAGATGAAACTAGTAGTTCATGCATATCTCTCAAGGTTACTAAATATAAACAGGATATAAAATCTCTGTCATCAGTGATGCAGCAGCAAAAGTCCCACTGATAATATATAAAAAGAGTCTCTAGTTTTAATTGATGTTTTCTTTTGAAAGTGGCAAAGGTTCAGGGCTGTTTAAATGTAGTTTTGAAGGTAAATAAATATATTTTGTTTTTTTAATACATCATTTATAAGGGATTTAAAATCAACAAAAGATTATTTTTAATAACCTTTTACTGTGTTTTAGTCATAAAAATGTTTAACTGGGAAAAAATGATGATTGATGGTTGTGTGATCAAGGGTAATATAAAAGGTGTTATGCTATATATCTGGTAAGGAATTAAACAGTTTATGTTGATGGTGAAATTGAATGAAATAGATTGCTTGACTTACTGTAGTTGTCTCACTTCAACTGATATAGTTACAATTTCCTTTATGTTGTTAAGATATTGAGTGAGTTGGTTTATAAATCTCATTTTGGTTGAATTGGTCACTAGATGAGTTGATGTCGAAAAGAAATTGAATTCCACAAGCCAGGTTGATGTTAATAAAAATTAACGAGGAAGTTGGATTTCATGGATTTGTGTGAAGAGTTGATTATTTTAAGGGCTCACTGACTAAGTTATGTTGAAGTTTCATATTTATGAATTTTCTTGATCACATGGGAAGCTCAAAAGTATGTTTACCAATTTTTGGTGCATTGAACTCAGAACAATCATTATTTTCTGTCTTCTTAATTTCTGTTTTTTTATTGTTCTCACTCCTTAATAATTTTTTTCTTTTTCTCATATTCTTTCACACTCAGTAACCCCTTGCGTCATAGTGGCTTTATTGTTTTGCTTGGGGTGAAATGATTAAAAATACATATATATATATATATATATATATATATATATATATATATATATATATATATATATATATATATATATATATAACATTTTTGTTGTTATCAAAATTCTTGACATAGCTTTTTTGAGACAATAACCATTGCCAAGGTTGTCAAGGGAGTATACGGTAATAGTAGTGTTAAAAAAAAAGAAGCCCATACTTTTGACACTTTTTTATTTTGCAAGTATGTAGGTTAAACATTGGCAAGAATGTTTTACATTAAGTTTTTTCTTTTGAAGACAAAGTTTTCATGCTACTGGAAATAAACTAGACAATGGAATTTTTTTTTTTAAACTTCGACTTCAAATGATTGATACACTGGTTCTTATTTATACTAAATGCATGAGCTGAGTATTAGACACATGGATCTGCACAAATATATTAAATTTTATTTGCAAGTGTGTTAACTGAAAACTATAAAATTTCTAATAACTTAATAGCTATAAATTGAAACTGCAAATTAATTATTTGATATATAATTAAAATGCTGTGTAAATTTTATCCTTTTTTGTAAATATTAGGTTAATTAAATATTAAGCTGATATCTCCCCAGTAGGATATCATAATTTTCAGTAAAAAGAGGTTTTTATTTTATCTAAAATTGATTAATTAACAGAATATTTGAATTTGTATAATTTCTTCCTTTTACCAAAACTTAATTTATATAGATTTTTAAAGTTTTCTTCATAACCACTACAACTTTATTGATAATCTTATTATTCAGTTTGAGCACTAATGGTTAGCAAAATGTCTTGCAAGATCAATTTCGACTAAGTAGTGAGTACTGAGAGTACCTCATTCTTTTGACACAGTGCTGCATCTAAGCTACGTTTAATAAATCGCTTTTTGATTATTCCGTTATTTAATAAATATGTAAAACTTGGTTAATAATTGATGATTATATGCAAAATCAGATGTAAAAAAAACAATTTTATGAGGAACTCAATTTTTTTGCACTTCTTGAACCGAAACAGTATTTCTTTTCTTTATTTTTAATTTTTTTATTGAACTGGTGTTCAGGCTTTGATATACGTCATGGAATGTAATTGCAAACGAAAAAAATATCAGACTTGCAAAAAATGTTAATTTCGGTTTGCTTTGGTCAAGTGATAAGAAAAAGACTTTTTTTTTCTTTCTTTCTTTCTCTTTTTTTTTAACGCTGAAGTTGAGATATTGTAAAAGCTGAATCACACCGCCGGTACTTGTAGTTTTGATGACATGGTGTGAGACAAAAACTCATCTTTAGAGTAGAAACATCGGTGTTTGATTCATTTCACTCGCCCCTGCCTTAAAGAAAGAAAAAAAAAATAGTAATTAGTAATCATAATCTGAATCGTTTTAGTTTTTTGTAGAGTAGGGAAAAATCTGAAATCGGATTAATTTTGAATTGCGAGCGGAAAACTAAAACAACTTCAAAAATTATTCGGTGTGTTTTGCGTACTTTGCCTTGAAAAGTGAGAAAAAAAAGTAACCCGAAGCGTTACTAAAAGTAAAACCGATTATATTTTAGAGAAAAAACAGTTTATTGACTATTTGAAAATTATCTTCCCAAAAGCAAAAAGGTGTTTTTAAAAGTTTAACTGCGTGAAAAAAGTAGAAAAATTACTAAAAACTTTAGTTAACAATTGATTTGTGATCAGAACACATACACACTCACACTACATAACTAACATTGTTGGATTTCTTCAATAATAATGGGGAAGGGATATGAGAAACGAAAGAAAAATCAAACATTTTTGCATGTGTCGACAGTTTTAAAAAAAAGTCGTGATTAAAAAAACACGCTTTTTGTCCCATGAATGAATGTTATTTTACCGCTTTCGTTTTTAAATGCGGTTTATTTTTCATTTCTTTCGAATATCTTTCTGAAGTGGCTTTATTTTCTTATTGTAGCTGTTGTGGTTTTTTTAAAAATGTTTTTATGCAAGGAATACTGCGTAGCTGCTGGAGTATGAAGAAAAATTAAACATTTTGTTTTGTAATTAAACGCCTTTCCGTGAGCGCAAAATGAAATAAAGATCGGTGGACTTTGTAATTGTATCAACCTTGGAAAAATGATAGACTTACTAAGTTAAGAAGAAGATAAAAAAAAAATGTTTATTTTTTTTTTTTTCGTGTTGCTCTCTCACACTGATGGGTCAGACCTCGTGGCATGGCCGAAGTGATTTGGCCTTCGTGCAATTTGAGCTGTATTGATGAAAAGACTTTATATCGCTACTCGTATTGTTATTATTATTACATTGTTCTGTGGTAGAAAGCATTAACTTGTGAAAGCGTGCTTTCTACTGACTGGAAAGATAAAAACAAGAAGCATTTGAAAAAAGACCTTGTTAAAAGGAAATAAACAACTCCACAACAACGGGAATTGCATTGATACTGACTAAATTCCACCAAATTCATTGCTAAAAAACGTTTAATTTTTTAAATATTCTTACTTTTGGAACCATTATTTTTGTAAAATTTCACTGTAAAACTATTTTTTTTTAAATACGTTCATTCATTTAAACAGTTTTTGACACTCTTTACAATTGGCGTCTGCTTTTATTTTTTGTCATCGTTTTTCTCTAAAGTAAACTATAAAAAAATGAACTGCAACGTCTATTGATTGCATTCCCTTCTTTTTAGCGTTATTTTACGATGCTTTTTGTCATTAAAAAAAGTCTAAAAATCTTGCGCATTAAAAGAAAAAGCATGTTTTCAAATTATCAAACAAAAATGTACCATTGCTGATGTTTTAGAATTTGAGTACGAAATTTAAAACTAAAAACAGACAATGAATATTTTTTCTTCAGAAATAGATCACTAGCCACTGACCAGTGAGATGTGAATTTTCTTTCTCGGCTTTCGTTACTGAGTGAAATGTTTGTAAAGATCGGCATTACATTGTTATTTGATAAAATTCTTTTTTTTATGCAGTAAACAAAAAAATCTTTCATCGCAAATTAAAAATGTATGTCCGTGTTTGGAATTCTTTGGGCTTTTTGTTGATGCTTTAAGTAAATTTTACTCTCTTTCCAACAAGAAACAAATGAAAAATTTTTTTATTTTATTATTTTTTCCAAAGGGTTTCATAGTGAATACTTTTATTTCGCTAATCACTATCTCTTCATTTTCGCCTGATGAAGACGGGTACTTATGATCGAAACATTGTGAGCACGTTTTTTTTAGTTAGATTCCTTTTTGTTTTTTTATTGTTATGTTATCCTATCCTATGAAAATATTTTTAGCTTATTATTATTTTGTTTCATTTTTATTTGTTTTTAAGTTTTCTTGAATACTTGAAGTTTTTCTTGGATTTTTTTTAATCAATAATTTTTTTACATCAATTTTTTTGACAGTTTGAGTGTTTCATTGTTTTTTTGTTTGTTTTTTTTTTTCATGTGTATTGTTTGAATTGTTGTTGAAACTTATCTTCTAATTACGACGGGCCCAAATTTGAATAGGAAAAAAAATTGTTATACCAAAAATGAGGAAAGTTTGTCCGACTTGAAAATTATCATTGAGTTTTATTTTTTTTTTCTGGGTTAGAACACCGAACACCGGCAGATACCTGCCATATAACTCAGCAAACTCTTGTTTAAATTTTTCTTCTTCTTATCTTATCTAATGCTTAATTTGAAACGGTATAAAATCAGTTTCTTTTCCTTCGCGTTTTTTTAATAGTTAAATTGTGAATTGTCTCCACTTGATAAAGTCGTTCTTCAGCGTTTGTACTTTCTCCTTCTCAGAAACTCACAGGAGGAAAAATGGCGGAAGGCGGCCCTCCCGACTGCGAAACTCAAAAGACGGAGATAGCCAACCTCCTTAAGGCACCATTGAAGAAAGGTGATACCTGGTGAGTGACACGGTCCCTAAAAGTGATTCTTGCTCTGATCGTCTTGATGACACTGTTAGAAAAACATTGTGTAGTTACCTTTTTTGATTACCTTTATCTTCACTTCTCTAAATGACTCCATTTCATTTTTGGAGAACTTTCAATTATCTCTGTCGACTGATAGCTCTTTAATCTTTCTTTTGTAAATAATAGTGAACAAATCATTTTCAGAGTGATGGAAAGATAGGTGTGAAAGGTATAAAGCCTCTTTTGTATTGATTATAGTTGTAATTATTTAAAATTCACTTCTATAGAAAACCTGCAGCAAAAAAAAGTTGAAAGATGGGGGAAGACAGCTGACAATATTAAAACTCTTTCTCTTTCTTTGCCTTGTGACTTTTAAGCGAGTCTGCTTCTATCTTATTCTTTAATTGACATAACGAGAACAGTTCCCAGTTTTTATATTTTCATTTTAACATGAAAACAAGACAGGATAAAATAAGAGACTAAAAGTGTTAGAATTCTCGAATCTTGCTTTTCGTGCCACTTAAATGCTTTTTTTTCTTTTCTTTTTTTACTAGTAGTAGCAGCTAAAAATACGTAACAAATTTCGCTGATTTATTGCTACTACTGTCTTTAGAGTTGTTACTTGTAGTATAGAGTGTATATTTTTATTTGTAGTAAATAAATAGAAACTGATTTATCCGCTTTGATAGAAATTTTATTATTGGGAGGGGGGTTACATCAAGTGTCAACTTAACACACAAGAAGGTCCATAAGATTTTGAATTTTCGAGAATCAGAATGTATGAAACTTAAAGATCGAACTTTAACTAATATTTATTTATCTTCAAAATTCAGTTTTACGACTTATGCTGTATATTCCTACTATAATTTATAAATTATATATATATATATATATATATATTTTAATGTCTAAAAACTTGACAGTGTCACAGTACTTTTTTTAGTTTTTGTCTAAGGAATTTTTGAATTGAATCTATCTATCTATCTATCTACCTACATTATTTTCACTTCAGATTAGTCGCAAAAATAATTTGAATATATTTTTCCGTTTATAGCTGAAAACCTTAAGCATTTTTAGTTTTCTTAGTTGTAAAATCTATTTTTAATCTTTTAGTTGCAACTGTAACTTAAAAAATCGATTTGTCTTTCGATTATTATAATTTAAAATTAGTAATCCGCGTTTTACTTTTTGGAACTTTTTCAATTGTCGTCAGTAAAGTTGCATTTTAATGTAAATAAGTGCTTCTTTTAAGAACTTAAATTTAAAGTTAATAATTAAAAAAATATTTTTCTTCAAAATAGAAATAGCCTATTTAGTTTAAGAAATTCTAAAAATTCTTTTTTTTTTTTTTCCTATTTAAAATAATTTTTAACTTGAAGATGCCTTAGCTCCATTTACGGCTGCCAATATCTAGTTTCGTTATTCTAACAAATGTCCTAAAAAAAAAAAAAAAGCGATACAAAAATAAAATAAAACACCTCGTTCTCTTTACCAGTTTCATCATTCTTAACAAAAAGCTGAAGAAAAAAAATTTAATTTCTAGTTATAATCAGGTCCCGTGTTTTTAATCTGATGATGCGAATATTTTGATAAAAGAATTTCTTGACTGCTCTATTGTTGAATAACTCAACTGTCAAGTCTCGGTCAATGATTAAAAATGTGATTACTTTGATTTATATATATATATATATATATATATATATATATATATATATATATGAAATGCTTTGGTCAACCTTTTAGTTTTCTTTGTATGTTTCTTCCGGCCCATGTGTTTTGTGATTGAGGTTGACGTGTTATTCTGTACTACTCTGCTCTTCCTTCCTCACAACTGCAATAGTAGTTGTCAGTCGCTCGTACAGTTCTCTAGTTTCACTGAATGATCCAAAAAGTATTTTTGTTATTATTTGACAAAATACTGGTCTTTCTCGTTTAGACCTGTGTAGGCTTCTAATGGGAGGAAATAGATTTTTACACAAACAGTTCAGTTTCAATTTCTACTTTTTTGTTTGTGTACGTCGTGATACAAAAATCTTGTCATGCTGCTAAAAATGCTAATAAAAAATGCATTTTGTTTATGTTTAGAAAACTGACATTTCCAAAATACTTTTAAAACCCTCTAGTTTTAATAATTATTTCTATAAGGACAAATTTGTTCTTAAAGTAGAGGCAACTCGAACTTTCTGAAACGGGACCAACGAACCGTTATTTTACTGTCGGCACTCTTCTAATCTTCTTTAAATGTCTTCTTGTGATAATTGTAGTGTTATTTTCATTGTTGCACCCAAAAATGTTAAGTCTGGCAGCTTTTAAATTTTAAAAGCATTAAATCTTGGACAGCACTTCTATTGTTTGTTTTTGGAATCTAGTTTTAAGAACTGTATAAATCAAAAAAAAAAAAAAAAGCTAAATTTTAGAGATTATTCAATTGTAAAAAGCATCCATACCAACCTTTTTTCAATCAATTTCACTTTCGGAGAGCAAGATATTTTCATGCAAATCTGTGTAGCTTCCATTTGCTTTAGTTTCGATAGACCCATGACTTTTATTTTTTTTATTATTACCCGCATGTTACACATATTTTCTAATTTTTTTTTTGTCCTAAAATACATTTGAAAACTCTTCGTGTTGAACAGATTTTAGTTTTTTTTACTAGTCAGTTTCTAAAATCTATATCTCATTTTTCTTGAGAAAAAAATAATTATTAAATAACATTTTTTAATTTTTTTTTTTTTTTTTTTCATACCGGCTATTATTCTATCAAAAGTAGCGCCTTCTGTTAATGAATGGCCCGAGTCAGACTGAGTTGAGTTAATTTAAATATCTCATTACAATACATGTGCATACACACACCCTTTCTAATATTACTCTACCAGTGTCATCTTACTGGCTTTTCTCGTATTTATCATAAACCGGTTTTCGTGTCTTGAAGAAGGGGGTGTTTTTTAGATGCAGTTGTAAAGCACTACCTCGTTCTCTCCCCGGACAACTTTGGTTTCTTGTAATTATCTCTAGTTGCTTGGAAGAAAGTCGGTTTTGATGTTGATCTGCAACTTGGCACATTTTTCCCTTGCTTTTCGTCAATCTCTAGATCGGTGAATAATAGAGAGAGATGTTTATTTTAAGAATTAAAAAGTGGAACACTTATAGCAGTTTGTAGTCACTTCTCTTTGCCACTTTCTCCTGTATGCACATTTAAATTAAATTTTTTCTAAAATGCAAATAATTCCAATTTATTCTCTTACGAAATAAAAACTTCAACACAAGTTACTGAAATAATAACTTCATTTAATGCTACTTATTTCTGAAATTCAACCAATCTGAGTTATGGACCATTATTTAAAGGTCATTATAGTTGGTAAAAGAAAAATTTGAGGGTTATTTTCAAAATTAGTATAGAAATAGGTTATATTTACAAAACATTGGTACCTGTGTTGTTTTGTAAGGTAGAAGGCTGTAGAATATAGTGGCCTGAACATAAGATGAGGACATCAATCTGAATAATGATTCCTAACCCCTGAAATGCAAACAGAAGAAATAATTCAAATCTGCATCCTGCACCACACACACAAATAATACACTTAAAAAATAAAAAAAAGCAATACTTATTTGGTTAAGAATAAGATAAAACCTTTCAAGATATGACATTGTTTACCTTAATAATTGGTCAGTTTAATTTCAGCTATAAAACTTATACTTAAAAAAAGTAATAGTATTTTATGAGGTTAGTTTGGTTAACTATTAATACAAATGAATTTTTATCAGTTATCTTACACCATGGGTATCTTCTTTTTATTGTTGTAAATGTAAATTCCTTATAGTTAGGTACCTCTACAGAATTGCAATACCCAAGGTTTAAAATGATTTTTTTTAAAAAAAAAAAAATGTTTCTTGAAACTTTTTTAGTTTTAATTTCAAGCTAATAGATTAAATTTAATATTTCCAATAAACAAAATACTATGCTGTATTTAAAACTATTTTGATTGGAAGGAGTTCTGATTTTGAAATTGCAGAAATTTAATTTAGTGCCATTTTTAGCCTTTTATTTCAATGTAATTCTCTTTATTAAAAAATCTTCCAAAAATAAAATATACTTTTCTGAAACTTTATTTGAGGAATATTGGCTGATTTAAAGCATAATGATCTGATTTGAAACAAATGTTATTTACTTTGTTTAAAATATCAAAGAAATTCATTTTTTTTTTTTTTTTTTACACAGATATGTTTAAGCTGTTAATGTGTTTGATAGCTTGATGACAGATGTATGTTTATCTAATGTTGTTCTATGGGGACTTTAGCCTAAAAAATTAATTGAATATAATGTGAGCAACTTTTATCTAATTTTTAAGTACTCAGTAAGCTTAAAAAGTTAGGAAGATATTTTCCCTTATCTAATGCTTTATTGAATTTTTCAGATAGTTCAGCTTCAAATTTACTATAGTTATTGCTCTTTCTGATAATTTTGTGTATGAATATCTGTATCTACAAAAATTGGCATATTTATAAACATACAAAAAAATTCAAAATTCTTTTAAAAATACTGGGATACCTCAGATTGTAATAAGCTTTTTTATTTATGATTAGTAAATATAGTTTTACTTAATAACAATATTCCCTAACCATTACACTATTTAAACTAAATTTTAAGATCTGAATTCTTTATAAATTATTCTAATTAATAAATTATTTTATTTAAAAAATGAAGACAAATCTTGTAAAAATTCATTCATTGAAAAAAATTTTTTCTTAAGGCAATAGTGTCCTTTAATATATCTTCTTCATAAAAGTAACTAAAAGCTTTTCTAATTAAATTATGTCTTGGTTTTATTGCATTTTTTATTTCACAATTCGGAGCAGATTTTCAGTAAGACAGTCCAATTTTACAAAAGTTGGTTTAAATTTTCCAAGGATTTCTGCTTTTAAATAATATAGTCACTAAAAATTCTCTTTGAATTTTTCAAGTTGTCATAAAATTAAGTGTGGTGTGTAACACACACGTGTGTGTGTGTGTGTATGTATGTATATATATATATATATATATATATAACGCTACATTAAAATTTGACAATTATTTGATTTTTGCAAGAATTTCCAAATCAATATCTTTCACCACAAAAAATACACTAAAATTTGCTATGTTAATTTATAGTGCATATGCAAGATTTTTTTTAACAAATTTTGAATGTTCTTAAAATGATTAAAAAATATAATAAATACTTTGATCCTTCCCTTTTAATAATAACAATTTTGATGATAAAACCTACTTTTTATCAAATTTTGGGTAATTTTTCATCATAGTATGCTCTTTTTGTCAGTGATTTTTGTTGCAGTACCTACTTTTAGTATATGTATCACTTAAGCCAGTACATTGTGGTTGTTATAAACACTTATTGGTTAACAAACTGAACAATGATTAAGTGAAATCAGATGATTTATAAAAGTTACTTTTCAATAATATTTCACAAAAAAAAAATAAAACATTTTTCAAAAATTTTATATTTTTTAAATTTTTTTTTTTTTTTTTTTTTTTTTTTTTTTGTGGGGAAATATCATTGTGTGTATCACATTAGTTTTAATTATGTGTTTACAACTAAAAATTAATGACACTTTATTTAAATTTAATTATTTTAGTCGGACAGATTTTTTATCATCCTGAGTAATACTCAATTTTATATCTTAATCTTTCTTTATAATAATGAGATAAAAATGTTGAAAGTGCATGATAGACATTTATATATAGCTGCTGTTTTTGCAACATTTAAGATTGCTTAAAACTAAACAACTTGCTTTTAAACATAAATTATCCTAAGAACTGGCTCTCTTTTTTTTTTTTCTTAAAGGATTTCATGATATTAACTTTTTAAATTTCTGTATGAAATATATTGTCTAAATCTTGTTGCAGCTTAATCTTTTTTTTTTTTTTTTTCTGAAATTTCCCAAATTTCTATGCTTATAACTGAAGTAACAACATCCACTAAAATGACTATTTGAAAATGTGTGTAAAAAAAAAAAAAAAAAAAATGAAAAAAAAATCCTGGTAAGAATGTGAGATTGTGCAATAGATAAACAAAATGTACCACTTTTAGGATTTTCTTTCTTTTTTAATTTTAAGAATAAATATAAAATGTGATGTAAATTTTCCTTAGCACTTGTTCCCAAAAAGCAGAACACTGTGAAACTTACTCTTTGCTCTAGTTATCAAACAATGATATGACTATATATGGGCACACCGGTAAAACTCTTGATGGTCAGAGATTGGCAACTAATATCTCTTCCAATCTCACACAAACTACCCAATGGGATAAAACCTGGCTGCTTACATTCAGTGCTATGAAAACCAAGCTAGTTACATGTCATCATCGCCAATCTGACCCCAAACTACCACCACTCAGGATAAATGGAGCTCCTCTCATGGAAGCACCATGCCTTGAAAGACTGTTGGGCCTCAAACTCACACTGACCTCAAGTGGAACTTGTACATACAATCCATTACTAAGGATGCAGGTAAAATAGTTGGCTCTCCGTATTGTTACAGTAAGTACTTGACACCCCCTGCTCTTCCTCTACCTTTACAAGAACCAGATTAGGCCAAAAATGGAATACCTTTGTCATATTTTTGTGGGAGCTGTCCAGACCTCACTTTCTAGTCTTGATAGAGTTCAAAAGTGTCTCTGAGCCCTTGTGGATGATGACTTATTCTCCACCCTTCAACCTCTCTCCCACAGGCGGGATGTGGCAAGCCTCTTGCTGCTCTACTGCTATGTCCATGGAAAATGCTCGGACAAACTACATTCCCTAGTTCACCAAGTCAGACCTTCTTAATAAGAACATGCCATGACACTTACATAGTAGCAAACTACCCAAATTCCCTCTGTATTCTATCTGTGAGAAGTAGGTTCCACTCAAACAGCTTTTTCCCCGTGAGCCACTGCCCTGTGAAACTGACTCCCAACTGGGTGTTTCCTCTGATCACTACAATCTTAGCCTTTTCAAGGCTAGGTTAACTGTTATCTTCTACTCCTATACACACAAATGGCCTCCAAATGTAACCCTCTCTACCTTGTGTGGCCTTCATGTCATTGCTAAAAAAAAAAAAACAGGAAGACTTGCTAAACATTACTCTGTACAAGGCACCCAATTTTCATTAGTTATCATAAACTTTTGTGCTGACACTATTATTTGTTTATATATCTATATTTTAAGAGAAAATGTATTATGCATTAAAATGTAGCATCTGAATTTTGATTTTTTTTTTTTTTTTTTTTTTTTTAATTAAAAGTGTTTAAGTTTCTGTAGCAAACTTTTGTGCATTTTTTAATTTTAATGTTAGTTTTTTTTCTATATTCTATCAGTGTTTCTCTGAAAATTAATCATTAGAGTACCACTTTTTTATTTTTTAGAAATGTTGATTAGTTTAGATCTCCCATTATATATTTTAGTCTTGGTATGAATGGAATGGAACAACTTTAGTAATCTGTATTTCTTCTCTGAGGAAAAAAAGATTAGTGCAACCCATTCTTAACAAAATAACTAGTTGTAACACTTTATATCTTCTACTCATGTGTATCCTGCAACTACTTAGTTTTTGTTTAGAAAGACATTTTCTTAGCTTTTTTTTTTGTTTTGATTGAACTTGTCTGATTTTAAATTTGATTATTTACCCATTTTTAAATTTTATTTAAAGCGAAATTGTTTTCAATACATAAGCAGTAAATTAGTTGCTTATCTTAAACCCATCTTACTAGTTCACTTCTGTTGCCTTTGGGTTAAAATTCTATTTTGAAAAGCACTTTTTAACATTTATTCTTTAACCCTTTTTTGTAATTTTTGAATGTGTATAGTGAAAACTAATCTAATTTTCTAGTACATTGTTACTACTAATAATATACTGAATTTCCTATTAAATACCATATTAACATTGATTTTTTTTTGTGTATGTGTGCAAAATTTTCTTGGAATTTTGAACAGATATGCTGATTGTATATGTGTAATGAACAAGAAATAGAATTCTTGAAAGTTTAATTTAAAAAGAAATTTGAAGTTAAATTTTAAAGTTTTTATAACTTATGCAATACTTTGACTAAAATAAATTTCAATTTTGACACATTTCACTTTGCTTGACGTAAAAAAGCATTTTAACAATTTTGGTTTCATGGCATTACCTGTCTATCAATCTCAAAAATGACATTTTGGCTGTATAACTAAAGTTGTCTAAGAAAATTGTGCAAAGAATTTGACTATGGATTCTATTGGTTGATAGTTGATTTTATTTTCAGGTGTGTGTAGGAGTTAGAATAAACATAGCTGACTACAAGTATTATTACTTTGCTCATGCTCAGTCATGCTTTTATAATGGAAAGAATCATTACTATTATCAGGCAAATGAAAAAAAAAGTTTGATTTTGATCACACTCTCAAAAATTTGTTTTTATGTATTTTTGTTTTAAAGTGAGAGCTCAGTGGTTAGTGAATTCTTCATGTAAACAAAGTTACCTGTTTACATCATTACTTATCTGTATTAATGACTTTGTATATGCTTCTGCATGTTCTTCATGCACTTCATTTATGAATACAAATATTTTTTGATCTTTCTAGAAACATTAACTACTTGATGTAGAATGGAGAAACGTATAAGTAGCTGGGGGACATTAAATCATTTGTATTGTTCAGACTTTAGTGGAATTTTTATGTTTACAAAGTTTTTAATAAGATAGCTGCTGCAAGTTGTGTATATTGTATTTAACTCAAAAGTAATAGTGTGATTTTTTTTGTTAGATCTTTGAAGATTATAAGCACTAGCTTTGTTTTCAACAGTAAATTTTCTCTGCAGCTCTGATCAGTTCTTTCTCTTTCTCCAATCTTATAGATATATGTATATAGAGTACATAGTAAAATATTCAATATATTATAATTATTTTAATCTTTGTTTTTACCTCTTGATGAATATTTATTTTTCCAGGTATCTAGTTGACACGAAGTGGCTGAAACAGTGGAAAAAATATGTTGGATTTGACAGTTGGGATTCATTTAGTGCAGGAGACCAAAGTGCAAATCCTGGTCCTATTGACAATAAAACCTTATTCAAAGGTAAACAATATTTTATTTTTTGTTTCTTTTTAAATTAAAAACTTGAAGCTACTTGTCAAAATTACTGGAAAGGCTTTCTAGTTCTAAATTTAGTCTTCAAATCTAATTTCTTTTTGGTATTTTTTTTAAATATTAAAAGTACTTATTTTATTTTCTTGAGTGCTGTTTTTGTGAAATATTGTTTTTAAAATAAAAAAAAATTAAGGTAAATGAATAGAATTTTTTCTTTTTGCTAAATAAGTTTGTTTTGCATTCAATGAATTGAAATTATGGACATAATGATTGGCTTTTGTCACATCTTGTAGTTGAATAAAGTTATAGTAAAACAAAAGCCATTGCAGTATAATATATAAATTAGTACTGTTATTGATTACTTTTATTTTATAATAACCATGATACATTTATTTGAGCAGTTTAATTTTTTTGCTTTTATCAACAGATGAAATGTGGAAATATGACTTTGTTCTGTTAGTGAAATAATTAAATATTTTATATCATCTATAACTTAAGACCAGGTAGCCTCATGCAATCTTATTTTTATTTTTTGACAAATTTTGTGTATTTTTAAATCTTGCTTTAATATGGGATTAAATGTGAATATATACTATTTTTTACTTTCTCTATTGGTAAATGTTTGCTGCATTATTAGATGCAATACAGAAATAGGAATTTTATCACTAAAATATTTTGGTAATTAATGAATGTCTAATTTTCCAGCTAGAAAAGTATTTACATGAAAAAAATGTTTGTAACCTTAATGTTGTTCTGCATTTCATAAAGCTAATCATTTTATATGCTGCAATGATTCTATTTTTATTCTCTATGTAAAGCACATGGACCTGGTAGTTGTGTATTTATTTGGTGTTTTGTAATTTTTAATAATTAGTTTTTATTTTCTGATTATTTAAGATTATTTTAACTTTGATAAGTTTTGGTCAAAAACTTTTAGTTGTCAAAACTGTAGAAAATTATGTTAAGTCATAGATTTCCTATTTTTTTAAAAACTGTTTAAACACTTGTAAATTTATAACTCTAAATAAAGCCTTCTAGTTGGAGCCTTTCTGTAGGCATGTTTTCTGGAATTGCATTTCTGTTTTTGATGTCCTTGAAAACTATAGTTATCACTTATGGCTGATAGGCTTTTAGTGCTGCATTTTTGACTGTCACTTGACTAAAATATAATAAATTGCTTTGATTATATTTTCTAGTGCAAAGGTATTTTTATACAAGGATGGTTCTGAAAAGCTCTTATCCCAACCAAGAAGAAATTCCTTAAAAAAATAGTTTTATCATTTGGTAAAATTTGTGAAGTGGGTTAGGCTAAAAACTTTGTGTGTGTTCTCAGATTAGAAATTGATTTTTCTTCATGCCAAAGTCTGAATTTTCATTGTGTTTGTAGCTCTTTGTAACATTTTGGATTCTTTACCATTTATACAACTATAGAAAAGCGAAAACTTGCAATGTTGCAAATTGGTTTTTGCTGTGATGGAAGTTATGAATGCCACCTCCCTCATATCTGCATGAACTAGATATATATTTCAAATACTACTTCAACATCCTAAGTGTGGGAATACTGTCATAATTATTTTGCTACACCATTTTAATATTGAAAAATAAACCTCGTGTTTTTGATCTCATGAACAATTGGCTTGTATAATAGCTTAATTCATCAAAGTTCTCTTCAGTTCATATCTATTCCTTTTTGAGGCATGAAATCTGTAATCAAAACTCAATCCAAAATGAAAGGAAAAAGTTGTTTAGCATTTGGTAACTTTGATATTAATTACAGGCTTGTCTAAAATAGAATATAAAAATAAGATTTTTTTTAATTAAAACAATTATAGGATATATAAAGATGTCTTTGAAGAATGCTAACAGAATTCTAATTAAAATTTTTCTGAAGGAATGTTTTATGAATTGAGCTAAATACAAAATACATTCCATTTGAGACTTCCAGGAGAGAGATTTATTAATTTCAAAGTACAAAACTCTAATCTCCTTCAAAGTAGGACCCTCTGACATCAATATATTGTAACAATCCAGCTACTTTGTGAAGGCTCCATGGAAGTCATCCAAAGTGAAGGTGTCCAGGACCCTTGTCACAGTTTCTTTCATTTTCACAATGTCTTCAAGGGGAGCAACAAAAAGTGACAGGATGCAAGGTCTGTACTGTAAGGAGGATGAGAGGCAGTTTTGTTGCTCATTTCTGTCAAGTATTGGTTACCAGGATGGAATTGTGAACTGGTGCATTGTGCTGGTACAGGTATCACCAACCTAAGTGGAAGAGCTCTGGCTTTTTGAATTGAAATATCTTTTTGAACTTCCTCAAAACCCACCACAAAGTACTCTTTGTTGACCATCTGACCATAGGGGACCCAATGGATTTAGATGATGCCTATGCTGTCGGAAAAGGGATCATCATAAGCTTCCTGGTGGGCTTGCTTTGTCTGGGGGTGGGAGATCAGGTTGCTTTCATTGGGCACTCTGTCTCTGGATCATAACAGTAGATCTAGTTTTTATGACAGGTCAAGTACTCTTGGATTTGAGATAATTAGCTCAACCATCACTCTGTTGTTACCAATGCATCTTTCCACCTGTTCTTCACTGAGCACCCTGGGAACAAATTTTGTGTATGTTCAGATCTTCATGAATAATTCTGTGTACAGTTGCCATACCAACTTCAACTTTTATGCTTGTCTTTATGGACATACAATGGTCTTCATCCAAAATATTGTGAATTTTCTCAACTAGCTCTGATGTTGTTCTGATGTCCCCTCTCTTAATGTTTGTCACCTCCTCTCTACTGTCTTTGAACCTCTTTTGTCAACAGAAAACACATGCTTAACTCGTACAAGTTAATCCATAAGCAGTCTGGGACATCTTGTAAGTTTCTGTAGCATTTTTACCCAATTTAACACAAAAATTTATTACCTTGCGAGCTTCCAAATTGTCTTCACTTACTGACTACATTCTGCAAACTAGTCAGCTGTATGACAAGCAGTGTTTAGTAGGGTGGGTGTGTTCAAAGCTGTTGCAGCCATCTTGTTCAATATGTTGGCAGGTAAGCTTATTAGATGTTTAGTCATGATATACTAAAATTACAATAATCTAGGATAGTTATAATTGCCTCTCCTAAAAAGGTTTCAAAACTTCTGGAATGCACATGCACCTCATAATTTAGCTTTTATACAAATATATAAATAATCAATTCACCCTAACTAAGTGATACTGCCACTAAGACACAAGGGGCTAGAGAATGAGAATATTTTAGAAGGAACTGGAAACCTAATCCTAAACATGAAACAAGGAATAAACCTCTACTCCTCTTCAAAAGACTGGTGGGGAGTGTGAACTAGGTGATAGGTGAATCTATCTACTCCTATTTATTAAATTCTCTTATTTTATTATTTTTTACTCAGGAATTAATTTAAATAGCTATATTCCACTGAGTTAGTTCAGTTTAAGATGTATGTAAAATGTCCCAATAGTAATGAATAGAACATGTGGAACTTGTCATGTTCCTCAACTATGAGAATATATTGATCTTCATGTGCATTTTTCTTCCACTCTCTATCTGCTTCATATATTAATAGACTTGCTTCAAAACCCTAATGCTTTGCAACAATTGTTTCCTGAAATAGTTTTAAGATTGCTTAGCCTCAGGGTCTTTGCTCATATTTAAGACTTTCTGAACTGGCACTTTAAGAACCCTATCACATAACCCTTAAAAAACAGAACCAAAAAAACCTTGCACAGCTTATGACTAAAATCTTCTCTTTAGACGTTGCTTTAAAAATTATCAAATACTTAAATGGATTAATCACCATTTATTCCTTTCTTTTATACATAGGCAATATTTTCTTTTAATGTTTCAGCTTGAATTTGTTAGGAAAGCATATTTATATTAGTCTTTATTCCAAGTATTTTAATTTATTTTTGTAAGACAATACTACAATTATTTTAAAAGGCATTTTGAACCAAAGGTTAACCTCATAGTAACAAAATTAACAAGTTAACTATTAATCCTTCAATGTTATAATACTCTGATTTGAACAAATCTAACCCACATGGTGCAAACATGACTACTTCATTTGGTGTAACAATACGAAAAATAATTTTGATTATTCTAATTATCAGCTTGCTTCTCTTTTCTTTGATATGAAGTGGATAAAACTTGGAATATCTGTTTTACTCTGACATTTGGATATTGGCTCTGTTTTATCAGAGTTTAACATGTTAAAGTTTAATTCTAATGATGCTCTCTTCATATGTTGCTTCATTTCAGATGATGGCAAAACATTGAAAGAACACCTTATTGATGAGCTCGACTATGTGTTACTGCCTACAGAAGGTTGGAATAAATTGGTCTCTTGGTATGGAACTGTTGAAGGACAGGTAAGTGATACTAAACTTTAATTTTCTGATCTTTTCTGAATATTCAAATGTGATTATGAAATTCTGTTGCCAGCTCAAAAGCTTCTTGTAAGTTTATAAAATACCCTGCATGTTGCTATCTGCTCTTCCCTCTTTTGCATATCAAAAATTTGTTAGATTTATAGTTTTTTAACTACATCAAAATTTATTAAACTCTGACAGTCATTTTGTTTAATATAGTGCTTAAGCTTTAATAACAAGTATTAGTAAATGTAGCTTGTTTTTGTTGGTTTTTTTTTTTTTTTTTTTTTTTTTTCCCTCCAAATTTGGCATGAAGACTTAAAGTAATGGCAGTGCTGAAAGAAATTTTGATTTCCAGATTCAAAAATTACTTCTTGGAGTTTAACCAAGTTTCTCTTAAATTGTTTGCCAGGATGACTAGTTAATTGGTTTTTATAAAGCAAGCTTGGCACTGTGCCAATGATGCCCCTCTTCATTCTACAAATAATTTCTAAATACGAGAAAAGAATAAAAGTACTTAATTTCTCAATACTTCTTTCAGTTCATTCTCTTTATTTGAGAATAAACAATGTTCTAGACAGCTAACCCATTGGCTTTTCCATTTACTGATATTGTAAACAAATGGAAATGTAGAAGGTTTTTTTTTTTTGTTTTTGTTTTTCTCACTTGGGGGGTTCTCTCCACAACACATGTGATAAAGGAGGTCCCATTGGCAGGTTTCATTGTTCAAAACAGTTCTGGCAACTGCATATGACAATTGAATTTCCAGTAAAAAAAAAAAAATATTCAGTAATCTAACTGTTGGTAAACTAAATTAGGTTAAAGTTCTAACATTCTTTTATGAAATGGATATTTTTCATTGACAAAATTAACTTACTCTTATTTTGGTTGTTAGACATTTAAGTTTCTTATTGTTTTTTTTTATATATATATATATATATATATATATATATATATATATATATATATATATATATATACATGAACATGTTTCTCAATATTGTATTATAGATTTCTCCATCAGTAACCCATGATTTAGTAATAATCATGAAAGGATTTCATTTTCAATTTTTCCTAAAATAATTTTGTTTGTCTAATCCAGCAATGAGAAGTTATGTAATAAAATAAAAATAAAGGCTTCAATTAAGTTTTACAATGCTGAGAAAATTAAGGTATAATGTGAATTATGCTAATGTTTTCACTTTCTTCACACAATTTATCAAAAATGGAAAAGACCGTTTTTACCAAGAACATATCTGAATATTTCAAAAGTATGGTGTGTTTATATATGTATAAGTAAAATTGAATGAGAATGAATAATATACAAAACAATTTGAAAGACTTTTACTTTGATATGTTTATCTGATGATGCTTGTTCATTGGCAAAATGTCAGTTTTCCATATTGTCTTTATATAACAAGATTGACAGTTCAGTAATGTGAGGTGTTAGTCTAGCAGAGGATGTGCAAACCAGTTTACAGTCTGAACAGCTGATGGTGTTGTCAGACAAGCGACTAGTGTGTTATTCGTAAATTTTTTAATAAAGTTTCTCAAATGTCTGAGGTGGTTTTACAAAATTTATGATGCTTCATTCAGCTTGATCTATGGCTGTTATTTCAAGTGATTTTAGATGTTGGTGGCTTCAAGAATATTTAAGCATGTACTTGAAATCCAGCCAGTGTCTGCCTGTGTTACATACACCAAAAATGTATGGCTGTACAGGAGAACTTTAGGTGATGTTATCACTCATTCTGATAACATGACCAGCCCATCTAAGTTCAGATTGCATAAAAATGTTTTGATATCCCCAGATCAGAGACAGCATCTGTGAAATACATTGAGTTGATTATTAATTTTAATACTCTGATCCATACAGGAAAGTGGTCAGTACACCAGCTTGATGCAAACTAATCTTTGTTTTAAGAGATTTTCCTTTAAAAAAGTTAATAGCAAAGCTTAAAAAGGGTTTGGTTGACTATCACATTATCTAGGTATGTATAAAAGAGGACAGTACTTTTTATGTACTTCAATGATTTCATATGCTTCAGGTTGCTATCATCAGTTGAGATAGATAAATCTGGCAGGGTGTGTGTGCCACTGATCTGTTTAAGAATAGGCATTGGTTGGTGCAAAATTTATATATAATTTTTGCTCAGAGGCTTTGCTTACAAGCAAAATGTTTAATTTTTAGATTTCATTAATGTTTCTCGGAGTGCAGTGTCATCAGCAAAAAGATGAATTGTTCTAGTTAAAATTTTGGCTTTAAAATACTGGAGATTTTAAAAACCACTGCTTGTGCAAAATTCAAATTTGACAACTTTTCCAGGTTACTTTATTGCAGTTTATATTTATGTCGCTTTATTTTCATACCTGAAATATAAATAAATTAATTTTTAAACAATGTATTTTTTAATCTGGCCTTATTTCACACACATCCAGACAAGTTTGATTAAAAAGAACCTACATGTTCTGTCTAGACTTTTCTTGTATTTTTCCAATTTTCAAACCAGGTGTTGTGTATTGGAATCAAAATTGTCCAAAGTTCATGTTTGTGCTGTTCAAGTACTTTTGACTGCCTCATTCATTTTCAAGAACTAGTATGGTGTCTCTGTGGTAGGCAGAATTCCTTTGTTGACCTCCTGGTATTCTTTAGAAAGAAAGCTTAAACTTGACAAACTTTGGGGGTGGGTTCCTGACACCAAAAAATATCCTCCACTTGCTTCTACATATGCATGCACTTGTTGGATCATTGACTGGTGGAGCTTTTTAAATACTCTCACACGGTGTTGAATAGTTTCTCAGCAAGCCCTCACTCAACATGTTGAAGCATCATTATTGATGTCTGCTGGATAAACCAATTATTTTAGGTGGCCCTACAGATAAAAGTCCAAAGGGAACGTTGAGGGAACATACAGGCCATAGAACCAGTCCTCCCCTAACTATCCATCTTTCATGGTAAATGTCAGCCTGTGCATTGTAAATAATTTCGCTAAAATGTGCTGGAGCCTCATCATGCATGAACCACATGTCTTTGTATTAGCAGGGGTACATCCTCCAGCAGGTCTGGAAGTGTGTTCAAAATAAAGTTCCTGTAGATGTCTCCTGTAAGACATGCTGGAAGAACACCTAGAGCTACCAGATAGTCACCTACAATTCCAGCTCACACATTAATTGTAAACTGATGCTGGTGTCTAGCCTGTATTGCACTATGGGGATTCTGATCCAACCACAAATGTTGGTTGTGTAAATCTGTTATTTCATCCCTTCCAAGTTCAGCAGTTTGTGAAATAGACCATCAGCAATGTGTGAGTGATGCGAGGGCGAAAGACCCTGGACACATTGCAAATGATACAGTTACAGGAGCTGGTCTTGAAGTATCCTCTATGCGTTACTATGGGATGTACAACATGCTAGAGCCACTTAATGTGTACTGATACCTGGATCATGTCTGACAGCCTATGAAATGTGTTCTTCCTGGTTAGGCATGCAAATGGATCTTGATCTTCATAGTTTGTGGTGTCATGGATCATGTCTTAGCAACATGACGATAAACATCAGCAAAGATAGGATGAATTGGCTTCCTTCAGTCTGGAAATGCAATCTGATAAGCTGTGCAGCCTCGCGTCCATTATCATTCCAGCAGCTGTATGTGAAAATCATATTTGCCTGCTCACCATAGTTAACTACACAAGTTAAATGTTGAAGACAGACTAGCCACAAATGTACACATATGACAAATTTAACCTAGTCTACATGGCAACAATTGTGGTTTTCTTTTTACTAATAATCAGATTTGCTTACTGCCATTTTTGTTTGTTGCTATGTTTACCTTTCCTAAATCATCCCAACAGACATCAAAGGATTAAGTTGGTAATGTAAAATAATTGATTAGTGCCCTCTTCTTTCTTTTTTTTCTTTTTTTTTTTTTCTTTGACATCCGTCATCATGATGAATTTTTCTTTATTAACCCCCCCAAATACTTTGAATATTAGCTGATTTAAAGTATAATTAATCTGGTTTGAAACAAATATTATTTACTTTAAGTTGAAAATAAGAGAAATGGATTTTTAAAACAAACAGTAACAGTGATTTACTACTTGTCAAGGCTTGTAAATCACTCGTCAAGTTACAGGGTGTTGACAGTTTTATTATTGTTCTATGGTGACTTTATCTGTTAAAATGTAATAATTTAAGAAAATGATTGTCAAGCGCTTTTTTTATATAGTTTTTAGGTACTCAGTAATTCTTTAAAATGTTGGAAATATTATCCATAATTTAATTTTAGGAATGTCTAGTTTAAATTTACTATCATGATTGATCTTATTTTCTGATAATGTTTTATATGGTCACCCATACTTTCAAAATGGGCACATTTATACACATAAAAATAGATACTAGCATGAGATCGCTGGAAAACTTGACGAAAATAATTTTTATTTGTCTAAATGTTTGTTATTATAAAGAGAAAAGATCAAAGTGTTTTTTGATTTTTATTTTTTATTTATTTTTTTTTTTTTTTTTTTTTTACATTTTCTAATCATTTCGAGCACATCCAAAATTGTTTGAAATGATGTTTTTTTTTCTTAGTCTGGAAAAATTGATCATCAGCCTTTTTTTTTTTTTTTTTTTTTTTCAATTTTGTAAACACAAGTTAATTTTTCTGCTTAAAATTCTGTCAAAAAACAAGCTTTTTTAAAATTTATTTTTACAAAATTAGAAATTTAAGTTTATTTAATATATTTTAAAAGAAAACATTATGCACTGAAAAATGTACTTTAAAACAAGAGACAGCAGGTTTTAACAGTTTGTGACACATGACTATGTGCAGATAGAAGCTTTCATCATATATCGACAGCTTACGAAACGCTGACGTATCATATAAATGGACAAAAGTGATATAATTATAATGAAAAGGCTAACAGTGGAGAACAACATTTATACCAACGCAAACCACGTGACAGACTATTGTTTTCATGATGCTTCTGATCTTCCGTATATTT